AATAAAAAAAAAATTTTTGAATTTACTTACTTGTAGCCGGAGTTAGAGGCGGTCGGATACTTATGACCGCTACTGTACATCATGAAGAAATTTGAGTGGTACCCTCTTTATCACCATACAAGCGGTAAGCTTAAATGCCAATATATTTTTGAGGATTTGTTAAGCAAGAAATTCCCACTATATAGGGCTAAGTTCTTAGATGAGCTACACTTGGATAGATATAATGAGGAATTGCGTCTTGCATTCGAATTTCAGGGTTCTCAACACTATTGCCACAATAGCTTCTACCACTGGGAGAATGAAAATCTAAAATCACAAAATATACGCGATCAGAAAAGCGGGATATATGCAAAGACCAAAGTATATGCCTTATCGAAATGCCTTATAGTGCAGATTTATATCTATTCATTAGACATACACTAATCGAGAAAGGATTCTTGGATAAAGCGAAGCCTAACTCTTGAAAGTTCACATGATTTTGGGCAAACCAAGTTTGCTGAATTTCTCATTTTAATGTGCTTTGTATATCGTACTGTATGGAATTCTTTGTGTATAACGTTGACGAGATCCCCAGAAAAACTTTGGAGCAAATGAAAGGCAATAAATATAGTCCAGATTGGCCTTTTCGCCTTCTAGTTACTGGAGGCTCACATAGTGAAAACTAATATGGTTATCAATCTTATTCTAGGTAACAAACTCCAACGAATGTTTAAAGGTAAGAAGAGGGATAAATATATTAAAAATGATCATCTCACTTTAGTTGGAAAGCATGCTGAACCTAAATAGGAACTAGTAAAAAATGCTATCCACATTTTTGCGAATAATCCTGTACCATATCAAGAGAATATCACATTTCAAACAATAAAGGTGGAAAAGATTCCAGATATAAGCAAATTTTCCCTGAAGAGAAGCACTGTTATTGTTTTTGAAGATCTCTGTGCTGAATCAAAAAAAATACAAGAACACATTATCCCTTACTTTATTAGTGGTCAGCATCAAAATATCTCACCTATATACGTAACTCAGAAATATCAGGCTGTGCCAAAGATAATTTGTGAAAATATTTCCCATCTAGCATTATTTAATAATATAGGGAGTAGAGAAGATCTTATTCGTATTATACGTCAATTTGTAGATAATCCAAAAAAAGCATCCAAAATCATTGAAAAGTATTTGTGAAATCAGAATTTTATAGTTTTTGATTTTACTAAGGGGTAGATGATCCATTAGCAATTAGATTGGGCTGGAATACTCCTTTAAAATTAGAAGAATAAAATCTAAAAATTAGTGAATCTTTATTCACAATGAAAAAATTATCCTTAAATGATGCTTGTACTATTGCCGAATTTCATGATGGAATATGTCTTTCAACTGAATATAAGGATAACAGAACCTCATTAATATGACGCTGTTCTAAGAATCATACATGGTATGCTCCACTATATAGAGTTAGAAATTGTGGAACATGGTACCTACATTGTGCAGGTAATGTAAAATATACTCTTGAAGATATCAAAAAAATTGCATTATCTAAACATGGGGAGTGTCTTTCAACTAAGTATAAGAATAATCAATTGCCATTATTGTGACGTTGCAAAGAAAACCATTTATGGCATGCATCTCTTGGCAATGTGAAAGTGGTAAGTGGTGTCCATATTGTGCAGGCAATGCTCGTCTTACTCTTGAAGATGCCAAACAAATTGCACTTAACCGAAATGGCAAATGTCTTTCGACTACATATAGAAATTCCAATACTCCAATGATGTGAAAATGTCATAAAGGTCATATTTGGAATAGCCCGCTTCATCATATTAAATATTCTAATTCATGGTGCCCATATTGTGGAGGTAGTATGAAGTTAACCCTTAAGGACACAAAGCAAATTGCATTATCTAGATATGGGGAATGTCTTTCAACTGAGTATAAAAACATAGGTGAACCGCTTACTTAGCGTTGCCAATCTAATCACCAATGGCAAAATTCGCTTAATCACATTAAAAATAGAGGACAGTGGTGTCTGTTTTGTATCAGCCGATATCAGTCAATAGAGGATATGTGTAAACTCGCGCAAATAAAAAATGGAGATTGCCTTTCAGATCAATATTATGATTCGCAAACAAAATTAGAATGGATCTGTGAAAATAAACATTGATGGGAAACTATTCCTAATAGTATTCAACAAGGAACTTGGTGTCCATTCTGCCCTAAATACAAAAGAGAAAAATTATGTCGTGAAATTTTAACGAAATATCTTGGCTCTCCTTCACTAATCCGCAGGCCTGATTTCTTAAAGACACAAGAATGTTCAAATGGACTAGAACTCGATATTCCCTATTATAAATATAGCTTTGCTGTTGAAGTACAAGGCGTACAACACGAAAAATATCACGAATTCTTTCATAGTGGAGACCCGAATAATTTCATCAAACAGCAAGTACAGGATCAACTCAAGAAAGAATTATGCGAAAAGAACTGGATTGCACTAAGGTATGTTTGGTATTACGAAGACCCATATGTAGTAATTCCAGAACATCTTCGAGAATTGGGTCTTATTGATTAAACTTGAAACTTTAAATTCTTTCAGGATTCAAATATTTTATGTGTAGCATTAGCAAGAAATCTATATTTTTTCCACATTTCACGTGCATAATTTTTATAGTTAAGATTTTTGACTTTAGAATAACATTTATTATACCTATAAAATTACTATATATGAACAAATTAACTCTATACATCAAATATAACCCATGTTAAAAAAATAACTAAGTATTTACTGTCCGTTTTTTTTGTGGTGTCTTAATACAGTTAGAAATTATGGTCAAATCCTTATTATTCTTACACTTACGGACGCCAGCCTTTTGCAAATCCTCTAACGCATCATCTTCATTATCATTGTTATTTGTTCCTTCAACAATATCAATTGTTTTACAGATAATCGTCTAAAGTTTTGAAGATGGTTATATATTTGGAGTATCCTTTTGAATAAAAATATATTGATACTAACTTTGGCTTTCCAGGTTAAAACTATACATTTGAGGGCTTGCTCAAAACATTTAACATTGGTTGGCATTTGTAAAGTATTTGATCTTGTTATTCTACAAACGTAGCCAGCAGGAGCATCCATACGCAATAAAATCATAAAAAGCCCTGTATAATAATGTAATTATTATTTGTAGCAAAATTCATAGGCAGATTAAAAATCATACTTACCAGCGTGTATAAAGCTAACTAGTTCCAATTGACGCAACTTATTTGTTTCCCACATTATGAAATTGCCCAAGTCCACCAGCATATCTTTAAGCATCTTTGGACTTTTTAGTCCTCTCTCTTTAAGTAATTTCGTCCCGTTATCACCCTCATAGTCTTTTCCAACCTCAGAAGCACTATACTCATGTATTCCTTTTCTTAGAATTAAATCACCTTTTCTTCCAAGAGCTTTTCGTGTTATTACGACTAATCCTTGAATTACCCTTTTACTATTTTTACGTTTTGAGGAAGCAAGGCTACATGACTCACCTCTGGAAACATTTACCTCTTTTAACTCGTTAAAAGACTTATCCAAATATGGATATTATACCATTACTCTAAGTGTTTTTGTTGTAATGTACCAGATTCATATTCTAACAATAAATTGTAAACACTATTTTTTATCCAGTCAAAATCAAAGTGTTTGGTCCTGATGAAGTTTCTACCCTCCCAGTTTTGTCGTGCTTCAAGCACTATCCGTAAATCCTCTGTCATCTTCTTTCGAAAAGAGCCAAGATACTTTAATAATTCAGTTGGCATCTTAGGAAGGTCTTTTATTTCCATGTTACGAATCTCTTCAAGTTCTTCAGAGATAAATACATTGTTTTGAATATAGGTTTCATCGTCAGGATCGATAATGAAAGAATGCGTCAAACTAGAAACAAAAGAAACCATATATTATCAAGATCGGACTTTTTAGCAATCACATACATCTTTACATACTGTTCAAATCGGCATTGTTTTCTAAAGGAATACAACTTATCCTCAACGCATTTTCCCGATTTTAAAACCCATTTTTTTTTCATTTTTCATTTGCTAGAATGAATATTCGTATTCTAACATGGCTGATTCGCACATTTCTTTTTCTATCTCATCATCATCATCATCATGATGAATTATTTCATCTGTGGTTTCTGATTTCCACAATTTCTTAACAAACCGATTGGATTGTTGTTCATTTGGTTTTTGAAAAAATTCATTGATTTCGTCCTATAGACGCACGAAGCCAAATCATGATTTTAATACTGGTAGTAATGCTAAAGAACTGCTAAAAAAAATGAATATTCATACTTCTTCGTGATTCCTCCTCTTAATTACAGCTTTGTTGTTGATCATTCTGCTACATATTGTTTTACTTATAGTTCCATTCGCAGAAATTGAATTATCAATGTTAATCGTTGGCCTGCTTGATTTACGTAATTTACGCATTTTATTCCATCTTTTAGTATCCTTGCGATCATTTCCCTAAGTATGATGAATTTGTTAAGTTGATACTTTCTTATTTTTTACAATTTATTAATATACCCCACTGGTCAGCAAGAAACCTTTAAACACAGGGAACCAAGAAAGCTCCATCATACTCCGATGGGACCAATGCTACCGGGGGGGACAAAAATATTGCACGGCTTAAAAATAAAAATTTAAATAAATTTTTTATAAGTTACTAGCCATGTGATTT